TGAATTTGACAACGCCATCTAGTTTTTGCACGGGAACTAATTTCTTATCTTCTTAGCGTAACTTACCTATGCTAGATTATAATTATATCAATTAAAGAATTTGTTAAATCAAGCTTTTTTTTTATTATGAAACTGAAAATTCCAGTTACCGTGGTTATAATTTTATCACTGATAGCTAGAAGTGGGCGATACAAATCGTATACAGATATGAAAACTATATATTGGTACAATATCCGAAAATCGCTTACTGGCTCGTTCAAAATCTATGTATTTTACAATATCTGATATTTCCGAAATCTGATGTACCGCTCACTCGCTATACCGACACGAATCGCGATATCATACGCGTTTGCCACAATATCAGATTTATAGACAAAGCGCGTGAGATACAAATTTTACATTAGTTAGAGCAGTACGGCAACAATATCACATTTTTAAACAGATTTTTTGAATAAGTTAAGTAATTTTGGATCTTAACAGCATGCAAATAAGATCAGTTTCATTTAATTACTAAGCATGGTATAAAGATTACAATATATTGTAATTTTTATATAACCTTGAGCCGTAGGTAGCGACAAAGCGCGTGAGATACAAATAATACGCTAGTTAGACGGGTACGGCAAACAATGCACAATATCAGATTTTCAAACAGATTTTATGAATAAGCTAAGTAATTTTGAATCTTAACAGCATGGAGAAAAACTCTGTTTAATTTAAATACGAACCATGGTATTAACGATGTCTTTAAATTTTGTTTAGGCTTGAGCTGGAGTTCATTGGTACCTACTTAAGCACGTAATAGTAAGGGATGCCAACTTAGGAATTTTCTTCCTAAATTGAGGAAGAAAAATATCCAATGGAAATTTTTAGGAGGTACATTTTTTGGGAAGATTTTTAGGAGCTAAATTTTATTCACATTTTTGAGAAAAAAAAAATAAAACTACACAAAACGAAAAAGAAAAATATAATTTAATAGTGCTGTGCTGCTTTAGTGGACGTCAGGCCAAGGCTTATGTGTCTTATGTGTATATTTTAAATTCTGCCGCCCTAAACTATATTTTGGAATGTATTATTTCTTACAAAAAATATAAAAATATTTTCACTCATGATTGCGTGTTCTGGGGTGTTAATAATACATAATTGAATTATGTATTTGGTTTTAACGTTATGATTCCAATTGCAATAAAAAAAATTTAAACGTACGCCTGACCTTGTAGGACTCGCTGGTCTTAACAAACTTTTACAAAATTAAAGGACAATGGCGAACTCCCATACAAGTTTTTGTTGAACAAATTTTTATTTTATAATTTCTTAATACAAAAAATATTTAAAAATATAGAATCAATGTTCTGAATATATCATACATACATGTTGTTATTAAAGGAAGTGTGGAATTAAAGATATTTCGGTCTACAGTTTTTTAAGGTTATGTCGTATATTAGTGCTATGAGTTTAAAAAATAATAAAAACAATATATAATAAAATAGACTGCGCTCTACGTAAAAAAAGATTATAATAAACCAAACGACGCCATAGAAGTTTCCAGCACCTACAGGGTAGCATATTACATCTCTAATATTCTATTCAAATCGATCTGACAGAGTATTAATGATACGGCTGTCATATTTTATTGTAATGAAGTTAAAAACGATTACCAAATTAGGTAACAAATTTTCCTTAACGATATTATCATTATTATATTTATAGCTTTTAAAAAAACTTATAAATAAGCATCTATATGAAAAACAGCTAGAAAAATGAAGCAGTATTTATATGTATTTAAGTAGGTATCGGGTTAAGGGCTGTTATTTTTGAAGAAAAATATTTATATTAGATATTCCATGAATAAGAAACAACTAACTTAGAACTGTCTTTTGAATTATTTATTCCTCATTATCTCTTATGATAATACCACCAAGAAAACCTGCTGGTCCTAAAATACTTTGGTAATTCTGGCCTGTCTTAGGTCATACCAACTATAGTAATAGTATGAACACAGCTTTTAAAATGCTACTTTCCTAATTAATTTTTGAATTCATTTATAATAACTTATGAATTAGGTAGGTACTAATAAAACACATTCATGAATATTTTTATTTCACAAAAATATGGTATTGAGTATTGCTCAAGGACTCTCCATACAAAGGCGATACATTTAACACAAGTCATGCTTTCTTGCCCTTCCATTATCAAAGCAACTTTATCATACAACTTAAGATTTAAATTAAAATAATATAAGCATCAATATCGCAAAGGAGTTTCTCACAAATCACAACACAATTTCCACCAAAATCGCAAAATCGTTCACTTCATAATCGTTCTGTGATAATACTACTAATTTAGGTCCAGTAAATTCACTAAAAATAACACAATTGAGTTTTCAAAAATAAATGATGTTTTCCCTGACAAGTGTACGGGCATTTAGTATATTTTGAAAAATCTTAAGAAATTATAATATTTATATCTGTAATTATGCTAATTGTAGACGCTTGAGATTTCTCTCAACAATTTTTTCGCCATTGTCCTTTAGTTAACATTTTTTTTTTCTGAATTTAAGGTGGATACGCGAAAGTAAAATATCTAGATATTAAAATACATAGTTTCAAATCTGATATTCAATCAGATACGGTTCTCAGAAAAAGCGATACGACCCATCTCTACTGATAGCACATTTTGTATGGTAGGTTATTTTTATGTATTGGGAGCTATGTCATTTGAAAAAATAAAAAACTGTTCCAATTGGTCCAGTAGCTAATTACGCCTTAATGTTGCACAGAATTAATCTTGAATACTTTAAAAACACCATACAAATTAGTAAAGTTAGTAAAGTAAAAATTAGTAAAGTAAAAATTAAGATAACTAGGATAACTATCTGTTTGCACTGCACTGCTTTAATCTTAGAACTCCCATATCTCCCGTTTGAGTGTATCGATTGAGATGAAACAAAGCCTAGATGTTGCCTCAAACATCGCTTAAGTAACCAGTGAAAACTGCATCAAAATGCCATAAGTAGTTTCCGAGTTTATTGCGCACAGTCAGACAAACAGACAAAAATCCCAAAAATGGTTTTTATATTTCCTATAACTCTTATTTTTTAATTTTTTCATAAATATATTCAATGTACAGACACGCCGATTCTACTCTTTTATTATAGTATATACAGCGTGTCGTTACCACCGCTACAATAAATGAACACACGTCTAACGCTACTTGCCAGTAATCATAAAAAAATATTAACGTTAAAAAATCCGTAATTATTTTTTTTTTCAAACAAACCTATTAAGTAAAAAAGAAACAACATTTGTAACATCCTATACAACTACAACTGACTGATTCATACATTCAGAGACTTTTTCATTCGTTGCTACAGCGTCGCATTATAAGCCTCTTCTAACAGTATGTTTTGTCTCTTTTAAATTCATTAAACGCATTCATATGCTTTGTGACCTTTACAAATGAACTTTACGTTATAGTTTTATACGTAAGGGTTGTCTAAAATTCTTTGTTTTCGAAAATTTAATAACTCGGTAAATGTTGATGCTTAAAGAATGTAAATGTTTAATACAATTTTAAAAAGTTATCGTCTATATGTGTTCATTTATTGTCGCCATTGTAAAGACACGCTGTAGAATATGGAATTTTTTCTGTCATTTAATGTATGATGAATATAATCTGAATGCGAAGGTATGTACGAATAGTGGAAAGTTGTAATTCGTAAAGTCTGTCAACCCCTAATGGGTGAAATGAGTTAGTGATATAGATTTGACAAAAACGCACTGCACTTAGGTCCTATTCCATATCCGTGCTTGTTATCAATTTCTGCACTTTGAGACAATTGTGCTTATAAATAATTGACACCTGTTACCAATTGAATCATACTCACTCCCACAAGTATGTGATAATTCATACATCGAATTTAAAAAATACCTTATGACATTTTATGACATTCAACAATTATTTTTTAATTCTAAACGTATGAACACGGTTTCAGACAAGAACTTCCTGTATTTTGTTTTTGGTTTATTGTATACTGGTACACAGTACACTACATACATAAACCAAAAATTATATCATTACAATTCGTTCACTATTTTCGAATAGTGAAACTGCGATGAAATCAACTGTTTCATAGGAATATGTGAAATGTTACGTCAATATTTACAAAATTTATATAATTGTTATAAAAACTAAGTTTGTGCCCATAATGAGTAAAATATAACAATGTTATTAATCGACCCTTTAAATCGATTACTACCTTCTTAATAATACGATTAACAATAGTATTTTATTACAAAGAGAATTAAAAATATATAGTGACGTCGCCTTAAATTTGCATATCATCGCTATTTTATATTTAATAGTACACAACGTAACCGATATTTAACAGTACAATTTTAAATCTATCTTCAAAACGAATTGATCACCCAATACAGAAACACATACGAATTTTAAATAATAAAAGCTACATTTGGAAAAGACAATAAAAGGAATGAACAAATACCTTATATAATAAATTTGAAATATTTACCGGTTTGCTATAAGAAAGACGACTTCGACGACTTAAGATACACACATCTATACTGTAATCTTATGAAATATCGATATAGAAATTATTAATTTACATAGACTCGGATATTTTTTTTTCTGATTCACATGTGTTGTAAAAATTGTCCGTGAGGACTAAAGGTTTGTCAAGATTGCCAGAGTTATTCATCTGAACGAGAAATATTTGGACGCGCAGTTATTAGCCTTTGTCATCTACTTTCCCCTTGCTCAAATGAAAGGGGTTTCTCACGATTCATAATGTTTACATGAAAGGATTCCGAATAATTAGCCGCAGTGTCGCTTTCGACCCCTCTGGGTGGTTCAAGCCAAGCAAGTCATAGTGAATAGGCTTTCGCTGAGGTTATGCGTAACTAGCTAAGATTACATCACCCTTTAACGTAGGGTAGGAAAATAAACAGGTTAGTTCACATTCAGAATGTTCAAAAGTCTCTTACCCACGCATCTGGTCTTCCTCAAGTCGACGCATCCCATTCCCGACTCCGTGTTGCTGCTGTAGATAAGCACGCGTCGTATGAGCATCAGCCATGCCCCATACCATTCTCCACTGACACCTTCCTAGAGAGGAATGGTGAGAAAGTTTTATTACTTTTCAATTCTTGTTCATCACGTCTCATTTCGTGGCTGCGTCGTCGACTCGAAATGTTCGCTTCGAGGCCATGTAATTATCGTTGACGTCAGAGTGCCATGTGATATAACGTGTTACAAAATACCCCGTAAAAATATAATTAATTATCAAAAGCAAAAAAATTGTCAACCCTAGTAAGCTGTAATGTCAGGGAACCAGATTGTTTAACAGAAAGGCCAACGTACCTATTTTACCTTATAATTATTGTCTACTTTAAGAGTTTTTCTGTTTTTAATTCATAAATGTTTGTTACCTCAATACAAGGATGTCATTATACTCAAGTACTGGCTTGAAAAAATATCAAGTTGGAAAAAAAAATATGTTGTCAATTTCTAATATTCTAATCGATATCATACAATTGTTTCGAGCGAAATAGGTAGAAATTTAGGTAGTACATTCTGCGTAGTTTACTCTTTAATTTTACTGAAATAGGGTTTGCATCATACTTTTTTATTTTTTGGGGTATGTTATACAGCGTCCGCAGTAACGCTTTGCTATTCTTAAATCTTGTGAATGGTCTCATTTAACCCCCCAAGTTATAAGGCCCCATTTAACCTCTTTTCGGCTTTACGGGTAGTTTTGTAACATCCTGTATATGTATGTATATACATATATATATACATATATATATATATGTAAAGAAAAATATTATTTTCTTTTATTTAAATATTTTCATTAATTTAAATATTTTCGCACACCGGCCGTTGATAAAATTTATTTTAAAAACTATGTTTGTACGCCGGATTATAACAGAAAAAGAATTAAGCTGTCATATGAAGCAATTCATGAAAATAATCTGATTACAAAGATATTTAATAAGTAAAATAGTGATTTAGGAATCGACATTGTGATTATTAACATTAAATGTCGTTTTATAAGAATATTTTTCAGTGTTTCAATCAAAACACAATTGAGTTTCTCTGTAATTAAAGATTTATTGTAAGATTTTGAAACTATAACAAATAATAATTAAAATAACAAAAATTAAATTTAATAAATTCGTTTCGTGACTTAAATAAAATTGTTGTTCCGCAGTCACAGCCGTTTCCACTTATTGAAGACCTAATAGTAAAAACAAGAGATTGCAAATTTTTCTCAACATTGGACCTGAATTCAGCATTTTGGTCAATACCTCTGCGTGTCACAGACAGATACAAAACTGCATTCGTCACACAGGAAGGTCACTTTCAATGGACTTGTTTACCATTCGGCCTAAAAACCTCGCCAGCAATATTCCAGAGAATAATGTGTAATGTTATACGAAAACATAAACTCGGAGAATTCACCGTAAGTTACATCGACGACACCTTGTTGTTCTCAAAAACTTTCTCAGAACATATCGGGCATTTACAACAGTTATTTCAAGCAATTAAAAGTGAAGGTTTTAGACTGAAATTTTCTAAATGCACATTTGCAGCAGACTCAGTTAAATACCTGGGCCACATAATACAGAATAATTCAGTTAGACCTCTAAAAGACAACTTGATATCAATAAAAAACTTCCCTACTCCAAAATCGCAAAAAAAATGTGAGACAATTTTTAGGAAAAATAAACTTTTATCACAAGTATGTGCCAAACATAGCAATAAAATTAGAACCATTGCATAACCTTTTGCGAAAAGGACAAATCTTTAACTGGACTAAGGAATGCCAAGAGTCATTTGATGAGATGAAAGAAATATTATGCTCTCAACCAATATTAACCATTTTTGATCATAACTTGCCAATTCACATATACACAGATGCCAGTATACTCTGAGTAGGAGCAGTCTTAAAACAGCCACAAGAAAACAAAGAAGAGAAACCAGTAGCATATTTTTCAAAAAAATTGAACGAAGTTCAAAAAAGGAAAAAAGCTATATATCTGGAATGCTTAGCAATTAAAGAATGTGTAAAGTATTGGCAACATATGTTGATAGGTAGGAAATTCACTGTCTTCTCCGATCACAAGCCTTTGGAAAATATGAATATAAAGTCAAGAACGGATGAAGAATTAGGAGATTTAACATACTACCTATCACAATATGATTTCCAAATTAAATACTCTCCAGGAAGATATAATATTGAAGCTGATTGTCTAAGCAGAAATCCAGTCTTAGAACCAAATGAAAACCTGGATGAACAATTAAAAGTGGTTAACATGATTAAACTAGAAGATATCCTAAAAGATCAAGTTAACAATAGAAATATACAGTCCATAAAAGAAAAATTGTTGAAAAAAAAATAATGTTTATTATAAGAAAGTTAAGAAAAGGGAAAAAATAATTCTATCAGAGAAATTTAGTATAGGATTAATCAAAAGTGTACATACAAACCTAGGTCATTTAGGACTTAATCAAATGCAAAGAATGATTAGCTCATTGTATACAGCAGAAAATATGACAAAAAACATAAAAAGTATCTGCGAAAGTTGTATGTATAGTAGTGTAAAAAATTATAATGAAACGGAGCACACTGTCACTGGTTATGCTCCAAAGTATCTTTTAAACGGCACAGATGTTGCAATTCTGCCTAATGAACTAAAACGTAAGAAGACCGAGCAAGATCTGATCCAAGACAGGAAAAAGGCTCTGGTAAATACAATGAAATCACATAATTACAACAAGAAAATTTACGATAAAAATCGAAGACATATAGAATTCAAAGTTGGTGATGCTGTTTTTGTGGACAATGGAAACAAATTAATAGGAAAAAGCTTGAAATTAATAGGAAAAATCGGACCCTACAAAATTATAGAAAAAATATCAACATCAATTTACAAGATAAACACTGACTGTAAGAAATTAGAGACAAACTATTTCCATATATCGAAACTAACTCCTTGCTATGCTTGAGAGACCATAAAGAGGATGTGTAGGTAGTCGTTATGTTTTATCTTCTCTGGGAGGGGGAGATGTAAAGAAAAATATTATTTTCTTTTATTTAAATATTTTCTTTAATTTAAATATTTTCGCACACCGGCCGTTGATAAAATTTATTTTAAAAACTATGTTTGTACGCCGGATTATAACAGAAAAAGAATTAAGCTGTCATATGAAGCAATTCATGAAAATAATCTGATTACAAAGATATTTAATAAGTAAAATAGTGATTTAGGAATCGACATTGTGATTATTAACATTAAATGTCGTTTCTTTAATTACAGGTAAAGTTTTAATAGTAAAATCTTTTATTTTTGTTATTTTAATTATTATTTGTTATAGTTTCAAAATCTTACAATAAATCTTTAATTACAGAGAAACTCAATTGTGTTTTGATTGCTGTGTCATCCTAAACAATGAAATATATATATATATATATATCTGTCCATTCCACTCATTATCTTGCGACTACAACGCGGGCCCACTGCGGATTGGCGTACTTCACATATATTCGAAATATTATTTTTTGTTATTATTTCGAAAATATGCAGGTTTCCTCACGATGTTTTCCTTCACCTCTGAGCACGTGATAAGTCAGCACTTAAAATTAATAATTTTATTGGTGCCGATACTATGGATCAAACTCAGGTTGCTCGAGTATATTGAATTAAAGGCGAGCGCCCGGACACTAAGCTATCACGGCTCAAATTACTTATATTTAATTCTTTATTCGAATATTTAGTTATGTAGGCAGTGATTTTTTTAAATAAAGCTTTTTAAAACAAACAGGCCTTTAAATACACTACTACTAATGTCGGACATTGGTGTGAAAATTCATAAGTTTGTTAATCGCAAGACCTAAATACAAAATTAAGTAAAAAAAAGAAAGAAAAGTAAAATTTTCAAATTACCATTTCTTTCATTGAAGTATATTAAATATTTTAATATAAAGACGTCGTTCATTAAAAATAATCGCAAAGCTCGTTATAAAAGCCTCTTGAAATTTTGAAAGCATTCATATTTATGGGAATTACTAAAACTAATTAAATTGACATTTCAACACTGAATCGTATCGAAAAAATAATTTATCGCAAAGCATATCTCTCAATATGAGCCATATCATAGTTTTTAAATATGATGATTAAATAAAACAATTTGTTCCTGCCTATAACTATAGTAAATAAGGCACAGCACTCGAGCAAAATCGCCTCTGAATAAATCATGACTCACCGGTGCTTTCGCACATTTGAATGATAACAATGAGTATTTTGTTATGTTTGTGCATTAGTTGTCTTTCTCGTTTACTCAAACGATACAATAATAATACACTAATGAAACAACAATGGTATGCCTTATCAATAAATTAATTTCATGGTTTTATGTGTAAAAAGTTCTGACTCGAGAATGCACACAACACCCGTAAACTAATCATTTTAGGAGTAATTGAAAAACAGTTAAAATTATTACTTATTATAAATATACATATGCATACGAAAAGTTATCATTATAATATTATAATGATAACTTTTCGTATAATTATATGGACTAGTAACTGCTATTAATATCAAGTTTTTAACATTTAACCATAAAGTAGATTAATATTTTATAATTTATTTTGAAATCAGTACACACATATGATATCGATATTTTTTCGCTCGGCTATATCATGAACAAAGCAATCAAGAATTGCAAAGCGGATTACAAATAAGGAAAAAAACGACAACCATTGCAAGCGACCTTTGTTAGTACGGCGTTTTTAAAACAAAGTAAACGCTGATGCTCTTTCTATTTTATTGGCATATACCATTACAAACTTGCTTTATTTTTTATACAACACGGTAGTCGGCAAGGTAAATCGCATTTAAAATTTTAAATCTTCCTCAATATTTAATTTTAATTTGAGTTCAAACTCAAATTATTTTGAATTAACCGTTATGGTATATTATTGTTTTATATCACTTGGATGATAATGATTTCCGTACATCGTAACCGGTAATATCAAATAGAGACAAAACCACAAAATAATAAAATGAACTCACAAAACAACAAAATATTCCTTACTGAATATAAACAATGCATTCACACACAGTACAGACGCCTAAAATCACAGCAAGTCGCTTCACATACTGAAAGGAATTCATTGGTAAGCTGGCGCAAGCAGTAGTATGTGGTAGTTATTGAACATACTTAATTTATAGGTTATCGAGGCGGTTAGGAACGGCCCTTGAAATTAACAACGCGAATCATCATAAATCGCAATACTGTATTCTAGAATGTTGTCGCTTCATTATCAAATAATGGCAACAACGCGATCGTTTCATCCGTCATAAATATTTTTGGTCTTATGTCTATGAAAAGGGTCCGAGTTACAACCCAATATTTATCGACCCTTATAAATTTATCATAATTAAACACTAGAATATTCCAAAATACATATCTCTATGTAACAAACAAAGTAGATATCATTATTTAAACAGTCTGATATCTCACAAAATATCATCGGATAAATTTAGTTATACAACTTACAATATATATAACGTGACTTCTTTATAGAAATGTTGTTGCGACGCACAACGGTTACATTAAATGTGAGTGCATCCGTGCAACGCATAAATTGCGTTAGTGATATATTCATTATACGAATATCTTCTAAAGAAGATAAGCCCATGAGTAAGAGATAAGGCAAATACATCGATAAGTAACGTACACCAAACATTTATTTTAACTTTTAGATTTATTCTCGAGAAACATGTTTACCTCATTTAAAATGTTTAAAAGTAGAGTATAGTAGAGCGAGTAAACACTTCGATTCTACATTGCAGAGTCAAGATTATATTTAAACAGTTTATTAGACCGGCCGATTTCAAGACATTTTCGCAAACCTTTTTTTCGTTTAAGGTACATCATATTGACAAATAAATATAAATGATACATTTCTATGACCTCTGATAATGTTATGCTAGCAAAATATCGCAAACTGCGTCAGGTCATATTGTGGATCATATTTATGTTGAACAGTTCAGAACACTTATGTAAATTTTTATAATAATGAACAGTAAATTCATTGTATTGTAGGCTAAGCTCATTTTAATTTTTGAAGCCATACTTCTTTTATCGCGTTAGGGAAAAATGATGAGAAAAATTTTTACGATGTGCGCGCACACCGTCACGAACAACCGACTCCCTGAAGTTAGCTAGACATCTACCTATGTTTGCGTGAGAACTGACGACTGTATTCAAGATATTTATTTTGTAATATTTACATAAACCTTATTTAACTAGATAATATGTTATAATAAAACTTTCAATGCTTTAAATACCTTTTTATTAGAACTACAATTACAAATCAACTAAGTTGCTTAAAAGCTAGTGCCAGGCTAGGTGCCATAAGCCTGACACAATAATATTTTAGTTTGTTCTTTTAAAATATATTAAATTAAAAATTAAAAAAAAAATAGTTACAATATTTTAAACTTAAATATGAAATAATAAAAACTATAAAAACAAGCCAAGAGGCCTGATACATTTAATTATTCTTCCGTTAACATATTAAAGATATGTGCAACTTCTCCAGTCCCTCCTTGCACTAATCTCTTCTACTTACTACCTCATGTCTTATTTAATATAAATCTTTAAAAAATATATATATCTTTAAAAAAAACTGTTATAAGCTCATTGCTCTAATTGTTTAGTAGATGAAAAAGAAAATTATTGAAACCAACCTTGATATAGCACCAACCACATCGAGTAAATTCTGCGGTATATTTTGTAGGAAAGGACGATGTAAGGTGTTCTGCAATCTTTTGGGCCCAACTGCGTCTTTCTGAAGCACTGGCACAACTGAAGAGAACTTTGCGAGGATTGTTGCGAATTCCTCCCATTGCCACAGACAACTCGAAGCAGTATGAATTACTTGTTGTACTGTAGATGATAGAGAATAAACAAAAAAAGATTTCAGAAATAAATGTTAAGATGAATATCATTCATGTGTTATTGTTCTCATCAAAAGCTCTCAGTAAATTCTATAAACCATAAAGCATCAATACAACTTAATCAAATATGCCTCACCTGGATGAAAGAGGTAGAACAATTTGCATTGAATTTATGCTGTCTAGCGTATATGATTCTTTTAAGATGGAATTAGTTGGATCTGTATAGCAAAGTAATTTTTGATCAGACAAAACACAAAAGCGTGATTGTGAGTTCTTAAATAAATCCTCAACAACTCCTGAGACAATCTTTGTTAACATTCCACTATAGTAGAGCGAGTTCAAATTGTTAACAGCCGGCCGTTCTACTAATGCCCGTTTTTGAACAGTTTGTTTTAGTGCTTTTTTAGTGTCTAACTTTAACATATGTGTAAATTTTTGCATGACTGAATATGACTTTGCATCTTCACTTGTACTTTTATCTCTTTCTGAACTTTTAAATGATGGTACATCAGTAGAATCATTTGGAAATAAACTATCAGTCCTTTCTGGCGGTGTAGGAGGATTATAATAGTCACTTTCACTCACATCAAAATTATCTTCATTACTGTCTGTTGAGATTATAGTACCATATGTATCACCAACTAAAAAAGATTCCAGTAAAAGAAGTTCGTTGCTGACACCTTCATACTTACTAACTGTATTTCCCATATTTAGTGGATCAAATTCTAAAATTGTGCTCTTGCTTGGCCTATCAGCAATTTCGTTGCTTGGATTGTTTATAACAATTCTTTGTGATGGTAGTGTCCAATTTTCATACAGTGAATTCTGTCTGAGCATGTTCGACAAACACTCCTTTTTATCACGGCTTTCAGGTGTATATGATGTTGATGGACTACTTATTATACTATTCTGCCTCGAGGGTTTTGGAGTGTCATATGTACTTATGTCACTGTCTAAATTAAGATCATTTTGATCATGTTCTCTACTATCATATGAAAGATTGCTGATACTGTCAAAATTCAAATCAGAATTACTTGAAAACAGTGACAAGTCATCTAAGTGACTTGAATTTAACTGCAATGATGGCAGGGTGTTGCTTTGTGAATTGCCATTATCATTATAATATCTTTTTTGTTCTAACAACGGTGAATGGAATTGAATGTTGTCAAATAAACTAACATCCTGAACTGGCATAGAAACACACCTTTGAGAATCACCATCCCCAGCATTATCAAGCTTTTTTGACTTCCGTAATTTGAGTCCAGCAGATCTGGTGCCTTCAATTACAGATTTAGCAACAGTGTCCCTCATGGCTCTGGAAGTATTAAGCGTTTTTTCAAGTGTTCCTTTAGCAAATTTCGATCCATCTTGGATTGACCTTTCAATTTTGTCATTAGCTGTTTTTGCTGAGTTGCTTACTTTCGAAGCCACGTCTTCTGTTATTTGCTTGGAGACAGTGCTTATAGATCGCAGTATATCTGAAGCAGTAACTCTGTCATTAGAACCTGGTTCTTTCGTTCGTGGTAAAGGCACTGGTCGCTTTATACCATCATTTTGGGATAGGAAAGCACTGCGAGGCTTCGGCACGGGCGCTTTATCCATTTGTATGACCAACCTTGTTAAACTTTTTTTTTACTTATCTACACCGCAGGCGCTTCTTTATTGCAGAAGACATTTCTTCATTGTTATGACCCAAATACGAAAACTGTATTTATTGTCATTAAAAATTGATATCTAATCTATGTTACCGTTACAAAATAAACTATAATAAATTTAACAATAAATTAAATTGAAATACGATGTATGCAACAGATGAATATTAAAAAACTTTTCGTAAAAACAATTTACGATACGACATTGCCGATAGACACAGTTGACACTTGACAGTATTCGGTATTACTCACTGAGCCAGTGTTGTCATTTCTCAGGTTAATTTTTTTTGTAGTTATTTTTAAAAACGTTTGTAGATTTTCAGATGTAATGTAGAAAAATTCTGTGGTTTTGATAACGATAAAATCCATTTTGCAATAAATATATAGCCGTGATTGCTCAGTGTCCGAGCGCTCGCCTTTATATGCATTTACTCGAGCAACCTGATTTCGATCCCTGGTGACAGCACCAGTGAAATTGTTCATTTTAAGTGCTGAATTATCACGCGCTCAGTAAAGGAAGACATCTTGAGGAAGCCTGCGTATTTTCGAAATAATAATAAAAAAAAATTCCGAAAATATATGAAGTTAGCCAATCCGCAGTGGGTTCGCGTGGTGGACTATACCCTGATACTCTCTTTACAGAGGAGGCCTTTGCCCAGCTGTGGAACATTTATTATAGACTGTTAGTTTATTTTACTTTTATATGACAGGGTCCTGATCTTGAATTATTAGTAAAAAAATTCAACGTTTTATTTTCATTTTTGTTAAACTAAAAAATTTATGAAATGTTATCATGTATATGCTGTTGGTCAAATGACGCTAACGGCTTCGTCGGACGAGGTCCACAGTCCGACAATCTACGGATTCAGGAGAACAACTGGTGAATGTAGAAGGCACAATGTCGTCAACTCCGTTTTTGATCGACTAATTCGATTAACAGCAAACCCTTAGATGTTTGAACCTGGATTTGGACCATACAATAGTTTAACCCATCCAGAGCAGATAATAATCAATCCTAAGACAGAACTAGCGTATATGGATGTTTTTAATGACCTAATATCATTCTGATTATAATTTTATTTACCTAAATCCATATTATATTTCCATATAGTACACCACCTCAATTTCTCTTTCGCGTTAGGCTGACTGGTAGAGAATGCAAATACTTATTGAGTCTACCCTTTGCTATCCCTATTTAAGGTGCTTGCAATTCTCATTAAATAAATTAACAAAAATAATAACTACAAGCGATTGAATTTGTAAATCAAATTAACTTTTTAAGCGCAAAAATTGGTTTACGATTGTTAAATTATTTGCTAAAATAATCAATTTACAATACGGGGATATATCTACGAATCAGGAATTTTACGCTTGCCAGGACCAGGTCAAATATGCACCAGGGCATAACACGTTGCTGTACCTGGTGAACCGAGAGTATATACTAGATTTTAAAATCGTGATGCAATTTGGCGTTCCACGTATACCAGTGGGCATTGATTGCTTGACGAAGGCAGTTACTTTATTTTTTGTATCAAATAAGTAAATTGATTATTATCGTAAATTTTAAATGTACGTAAATGCTTTAATTCGGACCTCTATTTGACAGAAATAAATACGTCGGGCCGTACGGTTAATATACTTTTCCATAAATAAAATGGTAATCGGATAATAATCAGGATCAAATTTAATTTCTTATTACAATAAGAAATTAAATTTGTAACCATGATGCGTCACGTTTATGCACTTTTAGGTACATGATAAAGAAGAAAAACACTATCGTACAGAATGGTCAATAAATAGCGATAGAACAAAATAGATGGTGGCGCGCATGCGTATTGTAGATGTCGGGCGTCAGACGCTACATACGAACGGCTGAGGTATCACGCGTAGTGTAATAAACATTTATGATGAAGGTTTATTACATGTGCACGAGTTGTTTTTAATATTTTAATACATTTAACTCAGCCTAATAATATTTTCAAGGTAAGGTAATAATACATCCGAAATTCAATTAATTCCTACTATATTACCTTGGTAGTTATCTGTAGCATTATATTTCATAGATTAAATTAATCTTAATAACAAAACCATTTGCAACTCTGTGGGTTTGAACTTTGAAGAGAAAATTGCATCCTTCTTAAAACTTTCATATATTTTTATTTAAATGCTTATTTAGTTTGTAGACATGTGAAACAGTTTATTCAGTGTCTATAAGCAATGTAATTCCCAACGCATTAGTCAGTAAATTGAATAAGTTTCATTGTTACTTCTTTCGTTTGGTGCATATAATCTCCTGGAATTTAAGCGACATCACAGTTCCACATCAATACATTGACATTTACAATTTATAACTGTAGTATGCGATGGTAGTTGAAAAATACTTTTAATATAGTATATTATATTCAGATTGCAGCACTGGCATATAAGCCAAAAATTTACCGTATATAGTTATCAAGGCATATCATAAAACTGCATTATTTTTGCACATCTACAAGTTGTATTGGTGCTACTGTGTACGTTTCTGTAATTCTTTACCTTGTTACTATTACCATCCTTTACAAGCTAGTGTACTTCGTACGTTCTTCATATTCATAGCGGTATAATGAATGTTTTAGATGCAAGCGGTTTGCTTCGCCGCCATGGCGCAAATACCACCACCCAGCGGGGACTTTGGAATTAAAGATGTATGGAATCATAATCTTCATGAAGAATTCCAGATTATCAGACAGGTTAGTTAGTTTGTTTATTAGTTAACTCAACTAGAGTTTTTGGATTGATGTTATCACTATTTACATAGTTTTTTTAAATGAACAATATGTAAACAAAAACATAAGCAATTTCAAAGAAAATTTATAAACGATCTGGAATGTTTTTATAAAAATTATAGTTAGATGGTAGAATAATAAAAATTTTGGCTAAGCTTTCCATTGACATCGTCAAGTTGGAGGTTGATATTTTTTTACAGAGAGGTTACACTTTTAGAAGCACACCCGAAGTTTCAGCATATGGAGATGCATAGTTTTTGAGACATAAAATTGAAAATCAATAATGTCAACCTCTACAACAAAGTTTTTCCATTTTTAAACATTTCAAACAGTAAACTGTTTTATTATTCCGATCTGTACCTTTTTGTTGCCAATTGATATTATTTAATGTTGAACTCAAGAATAAATAATAATAAATAAAACTAACACAAAGTAACATTGAAATAGTTTTTTTCCATTTTAAACTTTTTACTAACAATGTTTGTCCTCAAATAAAATAGGTTAGGTTCAACTTATGTCAAAGAACCAAATTGATTGTCCCCAACTCCACCTGGTATGTTATAACCCTAGTGTTTTTATAGAACTGGAGATGCATATGGAGAGCACCCTCCGTCTGCTGTAACTTTGCACAGTGCCAGAGATGGTGGAGTCTCAAAGTAGAAACAGAAATCCCTTTGAATAAGTCTCTATATTTTTCTGATGAGTTCCCCCTTCCCAGGTGGGAACCCTCTTCCTCTTCAAGGGGTTTCCCTTGTTTTTAAACTAATTGTTAAAAATAAAATAAATAAAATAAAATAAGGAAAATTTCATCAGAATTAAAAATAAAAAAAAACTTGAAAGGGGGTGGCTTTGCAACTTTTCCCTTTAAGGGGATTAGAACCACTCACTGGGGGGCTAAAAACACTTAACTTTAAGCTTTATAATATATATTTGTTCTTGACTAGATTGTGCAGAAGTACCATTGGGTAGCTATGGACACTGAATTCCCAGGAGTAGTAGCACGGCCTATTGGAGAGTTTCGATCCACTGCAGATTACCAATACCAATTACTGAGGTGAATTTTATTTACTTTTAAAGTATCACCAGGCTTGATAATTGCTTGTGAAGAGTCACATTTCATTATACATTTTTCTAGACATGCAACTTGAGGGAGTAATCATGTGATTTCAGGTGCAATGTTGACTTGTTGAGGATAATACAATTAGGCCTCACATTTATGGATGAAACTGGCAAAACACCATCAGGGTGTACAACATGGCAATTCAATTTCAAGTTTAACTTACAGTAAGACTTATTTTAAGACTTACACCTAGTTTCTGAAACACTGATCGTCTTAGAAGTCAACTAATCAAATGGCTTTTCAAATGTTATTTGAGTTGCCAAAAGGACTGTTTAACTCTTTAAATTGATAATTCGTATAATTCAGAGAGTAACAATTGTCAAACATCAAATAGCCATTTGATAGCTGATTAGTTGAATTCTACAATGATTGTTAAACTGTTCAATAATTTCATAGTATTTAGTTTCCTCCAATATTTTAAACAAAACCTACACATTTTAGGGAAGACATGTATGCACAAGATTCCATTGATCTTCTTCAAAATTCAGGTTTACAATTTCGTAAACATGAAGAAGATGGCATTGAGCCATTAGAATTTGCTGAATTGCTCATGTCGTCAGGTAACTCCATTAAATTAATTTTTATTATTAATTTAGTGACATGTTACAATATCGTAATTTGTCAAAAAGAAATCTTATCATACTAGTTGAAGTTTTTTTTAACTATTATGAATTTCAGGACTAGTGCTCATGGACAACATTAAGTGGCTTAGCTTCCATTCAGGATATGATTTTGGATATCTACTCAAACTGTTAACAGATCAAAACTTGCCGCTGGATGAAAATGATTTCTTTGAAAGTCTGCATTTGTATTTTCCTACCATATATGATGTTAAAGTAAGTTGTTCTTTTGTTAAAAAAAAATAAATAAAAAGCATGATCTCAATTTAATCTCAATTAGTTATTAAAATTAGAGCCTTCAGAAATCCTGGTGCGAGTATCAATACAACTGTTTTGTTTGTGGATGACACTTTACTATTGAAGTATCATCTGAATAAAGTTTTAATAACTTAATTACAATTTACCTCAGTGATTCAACATTTTTGTCCGCTTTATTAATAAACACATTGAACACTTATGATTATGACAAAAGTTCTATTAGAAAGAAAAATCTTTTTTGTTATAATAACATAAGTCTCGTAGGAAGTATGCAATTTGAATTGTTTTTTTTTTATTAGCTGTTTAGAATATTTAAATTAAAAAAACTGTTACATTGGTATGTAAAGTGCTGACTGTAATTGATCATTCATGAAAGTTCTAATCATGACAGAGTATGTTTACTAGGTACTTATCTACAGGGCTTTGGGTTCACTGTAAATCGTGTGGGGATAGTGGTACTTGCAAGTATTTTTGAACAAAAATTAATCATAGACTTGAACCAATTTTTATTGACTGATTTACCCAATCATCTGGTTTAACTATTATTTTTGGTTTTTTTTTTTATCTTAGCCTAAGGTTAACCCAAATAAAACCCTAATATGGGTAACCTAATTGGTTGTTAATTTCAACTGTATGTCTTTATAATTATATAAACAGATAAAAACATACAGTTGAAAGTAATGTGCACACAGTATCAAAAAGTCTTGACGATTTGCACCAAAGGAGACTTTAAATTTGTCTTAGTTGTGAGAGTGACTTAGCCATAATATTTTTATTATCAAATTTTGCATGTTATTTATTTACTGAGACAAAGACAAATCTAAGAACAAACCATGTTCTTTTTTTTCTATGATTTTGGCATTTTGTTATCCTTTATGCCAATGACATGGAAGGAAACAGTAGGTTTGTTCTTATTATTACTGTAAATTCTAAGTACTTATGTCACAAAATCTGTTTTCTTCTTTATAGTACTTGATGAAACTTTGCAAGAATTTGAAAGGTGGGCTGCAAGAAGTGGCTGATCAGCTGGAGTTGCGTCGTGTGGGTCCTCAACATCAGGCTGGCTCAGATTCCCATCTCACCGGCATGGCATTCTTTAAGATTAAGGAGGTATCTTTCACAAAGTTCAAGTAAACTCAGTGTATTAAGAGAATTAAATTGTTTTTTAGTAAAAAAATATTTCACAGACTGTTATATTATTTTTGTTTGACAGATATTCTTCGATGACAATATTGAAAACTCAAGTGGACATCTTTATGGACTTGGTGCCCCATTCTCAGCTAACGCAAACAACTTCACGGACAATGGTGATAATGGAAACTCCTCCTGATCTACGGAGGCTGGCTGCTCCTCCAGCAACCAGCCACGTGGCTTCATTGTCACTGATTAAAAATTGATTAGCCCAACTCAATATTGCGCAAAATTAATGTCGGTAATGAAAAGTGATTATAATTGTGATTACAATTATAGATTAACAATTAATATCATTTTATTATAGAACAATGTCATTTTTTAAAAATAAATCAGTAGGTATAATCAATAATACATTGCAATTATAAAATAGATAACTAACCTGTTATTTTGTATTGTTATTTTGATTTTGGAGATAAAAAAGAAATGATTAGCCACATGCTTTGATTTTAAAACAGAATTTTTATCATAACTTTTTATTTTTGTCTTCAGTGTTAATATTTTTATGTCTTATTCTTAAAGTTAATTTGTAAATTTTTTGATTCTTTTAAAATCACTGTCACAACTCAAATTATCTCTTGCAAAACAATTAAGATCAGCCTGTGTTAAATTTATCTCAATATTATTTATAAAATCATTTACCTATCTATTAAGTGGATAATGTATTGTAAGATTTTGTCTTATAAAACTTATTTGTTATTTGTAAGCTTATATATTGTCTAAAATCCTTAGGTTTAGATTTGTAGTGTTATTTCAAGTTTATGAAAAATATAATAAAAGATTAGAAAATAATATGTACCCAGTTATTGTCAATGCAATGCACGACACAATTGTCGTGCATTAACTTACGGTGTGAGCTTTATGCCGGAAGGCTTTTTTCACTCAGATTAAACACTAGGTAAGACGGTTCAGGACGAATATAGTAGTTACATCTTTAAAATTGACATGATCAATTCAGAGTATCAACCATAGATATGTGGATTATATAATTCAATATATTTATTTACTAGCTGTTGTCCGCGACTACGTCAACGTGGAATAGGGGGAACAGATATCTATACATATAATAAAAATGTAACTTATCTTTGTATGTACATGGAAGGCATTTGAGAAAAACTATTATAAAAGAACCCAAAACAATGGTTGTTAAAATTGTTGTCTGTGTGTATGTGCGTTTGTGCGCGTTAATCTCAGAAACGCCTTAACTGATTTGGGTGCAACTTTCACCGATGCATTGTAGTACTTCACTTAATATTTAAGTTTTATTCAAATCGGTTCATAAATAAAAAAGTTATATCAACTTTTAAAAAATAATCGCTACAGGTGAAATGGATGAAACTATAGTTAACTATAAATTATGTTATGGTCTGTAAAATAGATGATGATGATGATGATTGTTAGATTATATAAATTTAAAAACGCGAGTCGTAATCGTGCACGAAGGATTCAATATCAGAATCTATAAAAAAGGCAATAAAATTATGTCTGTTGTATGAGAGCCCCCCTTAAAAAATATTCTGATTTCCTTTATTTGTTGTTATAGCGTCAACAGAAAACCCTAGGTGCGTCAAATGCACCGGTGACCACGGCACGCCCGATTGTACGCGGCCAAAAGATTGCGCAGATCCACCGGACTGCGTTAACTGTCATATCACCGGCCACCCGGCTAGCTACAGGGGCTGCGCTAAGGCCCCAAAAACTCCCGCGAGAAAAGCTCCCGCGAAATCTACTTTGCCCAAACCCGCGCCCGTGAAATACGTTCCCGCGCCCGTACCCGTCGTAAACGCCTGGGCGAAACCCCAGGTGGCCGCGCAGGTAGTTGCGCCCCCGGTCGCCTCACGACCAATCGCTCAATCGCAGCCCGCCTATCAAACGGCGCCGACGCCGCAGGTGCAGTCGACACCGTCGGTTTTCGCCGAAAACAAGGACGATCCGTTCGCCCAAATTGCCAACATCTACGCCTTATTAGACCGCATTAATAGACAAGAACTCGCCGTATTGTCCGTTAAAATAGCGGCCGCCACATCTGGCAACGCGCGATTTAAAGCCATTAGCGAACATAAAATGCTTGTAGAAGCCCTCTGGGCATTTACAAGCCAACCATAAACTTAATAGTCCGCGCAATAAAACCGCGCTCCGCCGCGTCATTAGTTAGAACTCATAAAAAACTTTAATGGGAAGTACAACCGCAGGTAGAACAAAACCTCGGGCTCTGGTTGTTTCGTATTTCAACGCAAAAGGCATAAAGGGTCAAAGGGACGAAATCGCGGAATTCCTTCGCGATTATAACATAGATATTTTTCTAGTGCAAGAGACATTCTTAAAACCGAGTGTACGCGATCCCAGAATCGCAAACTACAACATAGTCCGCCACGACCGGTTAGCAAACCGTCTGGGAGGCACCTTAATTTATTACAAACGGTCCTTGCACTGTAGCCCGCTCGACATTCCAGAGCTAAGCCATTTAGAGGCATCCGCGTGTAGGTTAGCGCTCACCGGCCACAGGCCGCTTGTACTAGTCTCAGCCTACCTCTCGGGGAACAAAACCTTATTACAAAGCGACCTAGATACGCTACTCAACTTAGGCCCTTCCGTGATAATTGCAGGAGATCTAAACTGCAAACACGGCTCATGGGACATCCACAGCATCCCAAATAACAACGGAAAGCATCTCTTTAGCTTATCCGATAATTTAAACTTTAGCATAATTGCTCCTGCGACTCCCACTAGGTATCCTACGGTGGACAACTACCAACACGCGACACCGAGTATCCTAGATATCATGTTACTCAAGGAGGTCTCGCTCGACATCGAGTCGATAGAGACAATCCATGAATTAGACTCAGATCACAGGCCCGTCCTGTGTAAACTGGGCCAGAACGCCGGCGCGGTCCCTCCGACCAAATCCGTAGTAGACTGGCATCGTCTTGAGGTCAAACTCAAGGCCTTGGACCCCCAGGACTTAGTCGACCTACCCGAGACGATAGCTACGTTCGATGACGCAAATCGAGCGATAGCAAGTCTCCGAGAAACCATCACTTCCACAGTCGCAGACTCGGAACGGACGGTTAAACTGTCGGGCGATCGACGGTTTAACTTTCCGCCCGACCTGCGACTCCTAATTAGGCAGAAAAATGCAGCCAAACGCGCTTTCGACCGATACCGATCGGAATCGAACCGAACCCTACTTCGACGCCTTCAGCTAGAAGTCAAAGATCGTGTATCGGAACACCGACATACAACGTGGGACACTCTCCTAGAGGACATCGAGCCATCGCACACCGCCTACTGGCGGTTGGTCCGCAGTCTGAAAGCAGACCCCCGCGAATCTCTACCGCCGTTAGTTAGACCTAATAGCGCTTCAGTAGCCCTAGATGACTCCGAAAAAGCCGAATGCTTTGCGGACAACCTAGAGCAGCAATGTACGCCATCGCGCGAACACATCGATACAGCCCACCTAACGGAGGTGGACCGCGTAATCGCGATTAGGGCTGCGCTTCCACCGGAAGGCGATCCTTTGAATTCAGTGACCCCCGAAGAGGTTCAAGATATTATTAAAAACTTAAAACCCAAATCCGCCCCGGGCCCAGATAATATTAGTAACAAAATTCTTAAAGCTCTCCCTGGGCCGCTTATCTGTTTACTGGCGACCATTTACAATACTTTACTCTCCAGTTGCTCCTTTCCAGACGACTGGAAAGAAGCCAGGGTTATCGGCATTCGCAAGCCTAATAAACCAGCCAACCAGCCCTCTAGTTATCGTCCCATCAGCCTCCTCAGTTGCCTGGGGAAGCTCTACGAGCGGCTTTTATTAAACAGGCTCAATGAGCACGTGTTTTCCAACGGCCTTCTGCCGGCGGAACAATTCGGCTTTCGAGCTAGACATTCCTGTCCCGATCAACTATTCCGGCTAACGGAACATATCCTAAAAGGCCTAAATCACCCTAAACATATTAGTACAGGGGCTCTTTTCTTCGATGTCGCAAAAGCATTCGACAAGGTCTGGCACAACGGCTTGCTTTACAAGCTGTACACACTCAAAGTGCCAGATAGGCTCGTACACACCATCCAGGCCTTCCTGTCGAACCGCTCTTTTCGATATCGAGTTGAAAGCACCCTCTCCACAAGCCGCCGCCTCACGGCCGGCGTACCACAAGGCTCCTGCCTCTCACCTTTGCTCTTTACGCTCTACACGAGCGATATACCTAAAGACCCCCACGTCAATCTCGCGCTTTTCGCGGATGACACGGCGCTCTTTTATTCAGACCGCAACCTTAGACAACTAACCACTCGACTCCAAAGCGCTGCCGACCGCCTCGGCGATTGGTTCCGCAAATGGAGAATAGAAATAAATCCCGAAAAGAGTATGGCGATTCACTTCACACGAAGTACTTACCCGTCACATCTTTACAATGGCCCTCGTCAATGCAGAAAGTTGGGGCAAATATCCCTTTATGGCCAACCGCTCCCCTGGGAGAAAAAGGTCAAATACTTAGGAGTCACTTTCGACTCGCGTATGTCATTTACTACGCACATTAATAACGTTAGCAATAGAGCCGCGTTCGTCTCCGGTCGGCTACACAATTTAACTAACGTTAAAAGTAAAATGCCCTTAAGGCACAAATTATTATTATATAAGACCTGCGTACGACCTATTATGTCTTACGCATGCATGACCTTCGTCCACACGCACCCTACTCGCTTGTACAAGTTGCAAATAGTACAAAATAAGTTCATCCGCCGCGCAACCGGTGCGCAGTGGTATCAACGCAACGTCGACCTGCACAGCGACTGCAGACTCCCGACGATTCACGAATATTTTAAAGACCTGACCAAATGGTTCTTCGATAGAGCCGAACATCATCCCAACCCTCTGGTGGTAAGCGCAGCAAATTACCAACCCGACAAAAACGCGAACGTCAACAAGCGTCGCCCGCGAAACGTCCTAATCGACCCGGTCGAGGAAGGGGACTTAGACACGCCGGACCCACTGCCGGGGGTCCCGCCGGACAACACTACACCCACAGTTAGTGCAACAACAAACACACTAGTTCGCCCTCGCCTCCGAGCACGGCGAGACCAACACAACGCGTACACAAGGTACACCCGCGTTCCGGGGCGGTTCTCACCGCCCCC